AAGTAGTGTAGCAGATGAACCATTATCTACTAACATGTTGACTTGTTTACCAAAAATTGTACAACAAGTATAAAGACCATTATCCCAAATACCAGAATTAAGTAAATGACCAACTCTCTTTTCTTTTTCTTTATACAAATTTATAACATCATCTGGCCAAACATCACCCGCTAGCGTTTGGCCCATTAAACTAGCGGTTTGTAGTTTTCCGACTTTTGACCCCGCCTTGGACAGTCCTTCGCATAGTGGTCCATTCCGCTACATAAGAAACACCCCGTAAATTTTCGATCATATCTACCAATTCTTTTTCTGTCGTCTTTTTCAGCTAAGCTTGCCTTCTCAATTTTTGTTTCCATTTTTTCAAGTCTGTTTAAGATGTTGTGCATTTGACTCATTAGTTCACTTTCAACTAAAGTCTTGTTGTTTGCGGCTACATTTCTTGTTTCGCTGCTTGCTATATTGCGTACAGTTGATCGCTTTCTATCGTCTGGTCCCAATATTGATTCGCATCTTTCCACAATCTCCACGGCTTCTTCTATTGTGCTACAATTTCTATCCATACATCTATACTTTAAGTCTAGACTGATATTTTTATAAAGTTGGTGAAGTGCAAGTGACTCTTGAGCTTCTGTTCCAAGATCAGGATACGCCCTTCGAGCTAGTAGTCTTAGATCATCACCATAGGATGCTACCGCTTCACCTATGTTACGTTTTCTAGTTTCAAATTTCGTTAAATACCTAGTCTGTTGCCTACTACTTCCAAACCTTTCAGACAATTTTTGCTCCAGTATTGCATAAACTCTTTGCTCCTTTGGACGCAAACCTAAATAAAATGTTCTTGCTGAACCTTTCAGACAAGAAGCTAAAGTAAGTGCCTTCTCTTCATTAGACCACCTACCCAGATCTGCACAATTAGAAAAATGAGAAAAATAACTTTCCCAGTCTTCAGTACCATCATAAATTGTTGGTTTAATTACAGGAAGATTTGGTTTGTTTCTTTTATTACTTATATTGCTTTGATTATCATTTGTGTCCAGCTCATAATTTCGGTTAGATATTTCCTCTGTGTTGTAACGCTCTCTTCTACTATCGCGGTTTACTTTAATTCGTCTACGGTGTACCGGTCTTTCGTCAATGTCGTCTTCATCGGAATCAGAATATTGTTCAATATTCTCAGGTTTACGGATATATCTTCGCCTTCCTCGTCTATTGTTCAGGCCATGGTATTGGTTTTCGTCATCACCAATTTCCTCATCGAAATTGACTCTTCGTCCAGATCTCCTAGTACTGTTTCTGGTTTCATTCGATTTGTCTTCAGGATTATCTCCCTGCCCAGAGCTGCTATTTACATTATCATTCCGCATAGGAGTATTACAACGTTGTTGACTGTCCTTCGGTTCTTCGTCATCTTCGTCAGTGTCAGATGCTGATGGTAAAGTATAATATGCGACATGTTCGGCTTCATTTCCACTGTCATCATTATGTGCTGCCTCTATTGTTTCATCACAGCTATTCATTGTATTAAATTGTATTTCAGGATCAGAATCTGCCATGTTTGATCTTAAAAAAATAAAGAATAACATATATACATTAGTTGAGTTGTCCATGACAAGGTCCTTTGCCAAAGACTAAAAATAATACCGCTGCATACGCCTTTTATTGTCCAGTTACTGTCTCTGCATATATGATGTAATATCTAAAAGTAAACGATATATAGTTAGTAGAATAAGTATGTATCACATGTCACTATCATCCCAAGGTTCTCTCATCTGATTTTAGCTACGTCTGTGAATTCGTCTCTGGATACCCTGTAAGAAAAGGATATCCCACTTCTGACACCAAGTTGTAAGGAGCTACCCCCTAGGGTAGTTACCAAATCCTTATTAATCAGGATACCGGCCTTATTAACTAGTAAGTGTATGGCAATACTTCTACCCCATATTACATACACTTACAAGTAGCTGTTGTTTTAAACATCAGACATAGCTTCAACACATCTTAGTCATCTTTGTAGTATACATCATAAGAGGTAGGCTCAGATCATAATAGAGACATCATAGTTTCATCAAAGGATCCTTTGTGAGTATCTGGTCATCTTGTCAGGATATTTATATAACCAGGATTTATACAACCTATTACTTAGGATAGAGTGCACAAATATAGGTAAGTCCTGCATTGGTAACACAGGAAACTGGTACAAGACATCAGTAACTCGATTAACATGTAAACGTCATTTAATAATGTGACATCATATATAACAAGTGCATCTCAATAAATATGTATATGATATTCGCTGACAATACTACTCTGTGACGTAGATCTATCGTTATAAACGGAATAATATCGGGCGGCATTAACAATTCTTCTTCGATGGATTAAATACCGGCATTGACAATACTCGACAATAGAGGACCTAGGCTTATGCAATGGGATCTTCTTCGGTTATGAACATTTAGTTACAAATAAATGTAAAGTATGACAAGGATGTTGGAAATTTCTAAGACCAATGCATCTTTTAGGGTCTGCCATAACGTGATAATTCATATTAGGTTCAGCATCAAATGAATTTGTAATAGACTTCTGTAAGTAAACTGTTGTTGTTTACGATAGTACTGGATAGCTTAACGACCAGCAAATTAAGGTAAGTTATTATTTATCTAATATATAGTAGATACCTTATAAGTAAGCAAGTAAGTGGTTGCAGGATATATATATATATATATCAGACGTAATACGACTTAAGGCTCAAAGAATTTAAGCTTTGTAGCTTTTGTACTTCTCAAGTTGTTACGGTTGAGAAGAAGATGCCAAATGACGACAGTCACCCCTATTTATAAACTTTTGGGACGCTACAAAGAGTGCTCCAGCCAATGAAAATCCCGGCTTAAGACTAGGTCCAGTGATCAGTCTTTAACAATATTCAACAATATAGCAATAACAATAAAAGTTCTAACAGACATAAGTAGCACATATATGGCTTAATTGAAAAGCCACATAAACATATCTGAAATAACATTTAAAAATACATATTAACAAAAAGCCAGTCCAAAATACTCGAGCGTAGTAATATATGCAGACGTATTCTATTACGCAGATAAAATACAGTTCTCACTTAATAAAATATGATAAAGACAGAAAATCATCCGGCTCAAATCAGGCTTACAATTATTTTTACATAAATAAGAAATCCTGAAAGTTTAAATGTAAACAAATATACATTCATAAAAAGCCAGACTGAAATACAAATAAGTAGTTCCAAAGTTCTGTGTCCGCCATTTTTAAACATGGAAAATGACAGAAGAAAGCGCCGTCTGAATCTTCCAATAATGTCTGTAGATATTCACTTTGTGATATATTATAGTAACTGTAAATGTTCCAAATTATTAGATATTCATCAGGAAATTAATTAGGGTCATCTGACCATTCTGTGGCGAGAGTTATCTATCCTAATGTGATACTCTTCTTAAAAGAGAACATAAAAACACGAGGACACTCGGATGGATTAACAAACAATGACAGCGATTTAGAATGTGATTTTTAAGGTCAAGTAAGTAAGCACAACTACCTGCTTGTACTAAAGAATGCTGTTAAAATGTATATTTTTCTCAAATCAAACCAGTCAACAATTAAAATATGTGCTCTGAAATGAAGACTTTGCTAGAGAAAGTGTCTATTAACTTCGAGATCGAATTGCAAATTATTGTGAATATTACATGTTTGCTTTCGATAAATTATCAACAATTTTGTAATGTTTTCGGAGCAAAGTCATACAATGTAGTGCACATTTTAAAGAACCTATTCTCGTATTTATATTTTATATCAACTGTTAAAATATTCTTAATTCATTGTCATAAGTAAAACAGTGGTAACATTCCCTAACATGCATTAAATAAATTTCAGTAATAATAATTGAAGAATGTAACGGTTTTGCATGTTTTCTATTTAACAGACGACAGCAGTGATCAATCAACCCTATTTGAACTCTGGATAGCTCTTTTTCTTTCTGTCGTTGTCATTATCATGATCGGTGCATTCCTGCTAGCTTACATTTACATCAGAAAGTAATTGCATTATTCAATCATTTGTAAATTGGGCAATTACAGAAAAGCTTTTTTGGAGTAAGGTTTATTGTATTATAAAAGCGTACAAAATGTCATAATTTTCCTTGGCCTTATTTAAAAAAAAGAGTTTTTAAATGCATGTATAATTATTATAGTAATTATCATTCTAATTTTTATTAATGTCATCATCATCTGCACTATAGTTGTAATTGGCATTACTTTTACTATCATAATTTACATTATATTTAATACATATCTATATATGATAAGAAACCTTAAACAACCGATGTTATATTCTCAGATATCGGAGACATAAAATTAAAAGTGATTGTGAAAGGTCAAGCAACTATAGTAAAAAAAACCAAGATAATGGAAATGGTATTGCCAAAGAAATGGTGATAAGTAAGATATTCTCGAAATCTCCTTAAAGTCAGACAAGATCAAGTAAAAACGAAATTTACTTTTACTTATATGTAATAATCATTCATACACAATACACTGAGAATATTAAAGAATTATTACACCCTATGATCGTTCATTTACTAGATGTGTAGAAGCTAAAAGACGCATGTAAAAGCCGGGGCCACTCGGGGAGGGACTTAATTAAGTCCGATGGTTTTCTGTAGATTTTGATATACAAAAAAAGGATACACTTGCGCTAAAGTATTCGTCCGATTTGATAATTTCGTGTTTTGTGATGTTCTTTCGTTCGTAAAGACAAACCAGTTTTGTAGTGCCTTTAAAGTGAAAGTGAATAGTAGATGGTCAGTTTTGTTTTAATAATAACATTGCTAGGGCTGTAATACAGCAGTCCGCTATTTGTCATGTGTCATAGCGCGATTTAATGATTATCAAGTAAGATATTAATACGATTAAATATGTAGTAACGAAGAATAATTTATGAAGGTGAAGTCATTTCATAAATATACATTGATTGCAGAAAGTCATCTTCAAAAATGTTATAACCAGACAACCATACGTTGTAGTGGAGATGTTGTATATAAAACAAACATAAAAGAGTATAAAGGTAGTATCATTTATATTTCTAATATATGTGTTATGTAGCAACATTTTAATGTAATAATGTTATAAAAGACGTTTATTTAAGTAGTCCATTTTAATTTAGAAAATGTAATTCTTTGGAAGTTTTGGAACTTGAACAGATGTATTTTTCAAAATCTCCTTGATTTTTAAGTACATTATATTGTATATGATTGTAACATGACGATCAAAAATAACAAAATACATAAAGCAATGCAAATTCTTAAACTGCTTTGAGAAAAAAACTTGTTTACAATTTTTGATAAATAAACTAAATTTTAGCCTTTATTATAGATGACTCCAGTAGACATAACGTTGATGGCAATGATTTAGCACCACAAGCAAGCATAGAAGGAAGGCACATTGCTGTGGTCCGTCCACATATTGAATCAAATAGCAATGGTATGTCAAAATCTTCCGCTTTAATTTAAATTTGTAATGTTTATTTAACTTTAAGGCGCATCTTATAAATAAGGCTATTATTGTAAAGAATCACAAAGAATCGGTTTGCAATTCAAATAAGACTTGTAGCACTCTAAAAATGTCTATAAATAAACATGATCTTATTTAAAAAAATGATTCAAAGGTCAAAGACGAAACTCCCATATTGAAAGGAATCAATATAAGTGTTATGCTTATTTTCCAATCCATATATAATGTCATATAAAAATACAGGCTTGTAAATTTCCTAAATTAAACAGTCTATGTCATAATCATACTATTATTTATTTCACAGAAAATTGTTTAAATTCATAATGCTTCTCTTTTTCAAATACATAATATATAGTAATCTAACTAGGTCTGTAGTTTTATCTTGATATGATGAGTTATGGTGTCTTTAAGACTGCAAAGAAGTTGAAAACTCAGATGACATATTACAACATAGAACAAGGGAAAGTTTTCTGGTTGCTGGAGACTCCGAGAATACACAAGGTAAGGATCAATATTTCTATAAGTATTTACGGCAGTCTTTATATTATATAGTATTTACGGCAGTTATTTCTACTCTTAAAACGTTAAAAAATTAAATAAAATTTTGAAACACAGAGGTGCTGAATTTCATTTTCATTCATTGTCCTTTGCATGTATAAATTGATATAATAATAAAATATATCAATTTTAACATAACTAAAAAAACTTACATAACCAAAAGCTCATTATGATAAGCTAAGACAATTAACATAAACTGTTTAAACATTGAACTATAAAAAGCTCAAGCATATTTAATGGCTATAGTAAATAAAAGAGATAAAGTAAAACAAAAATATTTTCACCAGAATAAGCAAAAGGAACTTGGATTTTCAAAACTAAACAGTTTTAGTATTCATCGTAAAATGAAATATGAGTTTATTATTCACTTTTCTTGTTTGCTAATTTTATTTTTTAAAACGAAAAGTTAAAAGTTTTCTTTTGGTGTTACTGTTTCGTTTTCCCCAATTAAAGTGCTAGCACAACACCACCCAAACATAAAGTCGTCATTACAAAGATGTCTTCCGGAACTTATTCTGTCGACTCATCCACGAGGAAAAGTTTTTGTCATATTTTCATCATTCCACATGTCCGGTAGTTGCGTGAATTTAGTCCTACTACACAGCATAAAAGTACAGACATTTTAAATCAGATGCAACACCAACACTTCACAGTCTTACAATGTATACATTATACTATTAATGCAGAACGGTGGTATCTATAATATAAATATAAATATACTGAATATAAAAATATCTAGGTCTTATTTCTGCCTCGCATAGTACACCATACTTATTCAGTTCTGTGCAAGCTAACGAAATTGGCAGAATAAGATGAAATTGACAGAATAAGATACTAAGTATACTTTCCCTGCTGAAACTTGCCAAGGAATAAACATTATCGTAATGTAAGCTTTAAATTCATTTACATTTAATGCAAAATGAAATGAACATAATGTTGGACCAATTGAAATAATTGATTATATAAGTTAATTAATTTACTTAATATATCATTTGTAATTTGCAGTTAAATATATTCATATGCTATACATGTACACCATAAACATCAAAATTTATATAGATAATGTTCTTGTATATACATGTATTTAAGACATTGTGTGCAGTTATTTGTGTCATATAGATTCACGTATTTCTAAAGGATCTAGAGTACAAACAAATTAATTCAACAATAAAATTAATGCTCTATAATTAGGTATCAAAGGTTTGAGAATCACTAGATGTTTTATTACCATAAAATAAAAAAAAATTATATATAACAATATATTGAATCAAAACATCAAAATCTTGCATTCGGACGATATAAAGCAAGGTAATGACCTATGACCTCAGATAATGACTTTGTGTTTAAAGATGCAGATATGAGTCGTGCATGCGACACATATGATGAAGACATCTGTCAAATTTTCGATAACACATCAAGGAATAAAATACATAAACCAAAGAAGACAAGTTTAATGTTGATGCTGCACATCAAAGACAACGCCAAATGATGTGAACAGTCAATCAGCATTGATATTCGTTCTCTATTACAGTTGAATATCCGAAGCACAAATCATTTTCTCTCCATGTTCTTGGTATGTGCTCGTTGCTTAATAATTAAGTTGCATATTTTTGTGAAAAAGTAGAACCTAATGCATAAAATCACAAAGTAATGCCATGTCTGAAATTCTTAAATGTTTGTCTATTGCGACAAAGATTGAAACGTCTAATCAAAGCAAAATGATGAGTAAAATTGAAATGATTGGTATACTTAAAATAAATACAATATGTGCCGAAAAATATGTCCATTAAAATATTGGTACGAATTGCATAATGTTCGAATGATTTTGAGGACTAAGTGTTCTGCAGTGATCTCCCCTTACTGGCCGTAGCGTAACCGGTGCGTACTTTCTGAACGGTTAAGGGGGGAAGGCCTCTCTGATAGTGGGCGTGGATTACGCTTTGTAACTTGGTAATTTAATGATTCGATAAGTGATAATTATCAAAGTTGTTCTGGTTCCCTTCCGCCCCGTCAACTAAGACTAAATGCTAGCATACTGAGCACCATATTAAATTTGGCGGTAATTAAAGGCAATGCCGAACTTCAACAGAGGCGGAGCAAATAAAGTAGAGACACTGCCTCAGTCGATTCCTCTCTCAACGGTTTAGTTTTAAAACGATCGATTATAGACTGGCTCATTGGCACGTTATTTATAATGTAGATAAAATAAGGTAATGATTAAAAGAATATGATATTCAAACGTGGCACTATCACTTCAGTTAAACATTTATTCTAATCGCTTAATGCTCTGTGACAAGTTGAACACCAGAATAGCTATTTTTATTAGAAAATTTGAAAACAGCGTGGTTTTGTTAAAAAACACACACACACAAAACCCCCACAAAATCAAGTCTAAAATTTCCCCCATTGCTGTATGGACAAACGCATGTCTACTAGACGCCGCTTGCAAGCGGCGCTTAATAATGGACAAACACAATTTAATCAATGTTCTCCAAGTCCAACATTGACCTCAAAGTTGCAGACATAGGTTTTGCGCATGACACACAGTCTGATATAGATAGAGACATTTACCATATAAAGTGAAAGTCTCTTAAGTTATGGCAAAGTTATTATCCAACACCATTTAACCTTTGACGCCAAATAATGTCATTGACCTTGAAGATGCAGAGATGGATTAATATTTTTTATAAAGACTGGTTTCATAACATTTATTCTATATGCTTTCGGCAAGTATTTTTATGTTTTCAGCTGTTAATGTTGCAGAAAACTCAGAAAACAAACACCAAAATAACCAATTGTGTCAAAGAACAAAGAACGAATCATTATCTCCTAGGGATTTAGGTAAAGGTTTAAGAAACAGGAATCGTTATATATCATTTGTTGCTGTAAACACAGTTATTTAAATAAGTTGCAAAACAATGAGTATGATAAAAATCTGCATAAATAAATGTGTGTATTTGTCAATGCAATAATATGTGTCCGATCAAACTGTTTTATTGTTTGCCGAGCAAGTTAAGCTGATGTGTGGCACTCAAAGAATATAATTTTAGATTTAAAGGGTAAGCTTCAGAAAGTGCATTGATAGCCGTGTCATGTAAATCAATTCATTTGTATTAATTTTGTAAACATAATGACACGATGTCGCGGGCAACAATCAGGTCTGCAGCTCAAAGGCCGAAAATATACTTTTGTGTCAAAAGTCGTGCTATGTATTTACTTACAAATGCATAATTTGTCACGATCGGTCATTTCAAAATTCAGATCTACAGCGTTTAGATCAAGGTCAAACCTGCACGCTAAAGTCAATATGTGGTCGTGTCCAGTCATTCATTTATAAGTTTTGAAATATCACGAATACTTTTTAGCTATCAAGTTGATATGTTTCACACACTTACAACTAAGTAACTTTAAAAAAACGGTTTTGCACATTCAAACGACGTGCCTGGTACAGAAATGATCTTCAGCTGTCCTTTTCTCAAAAGTCAAGGTCACACTTAAATTATTTTTATATGGTCTTTTTTTTACTGTAAGGGAGTAACATGTGGTGACAATGTGAAAATAAAGTCACACTTAAAATTGAACATAGTGCATCTTCAAAAAGCGTGGTGTCTGATCATTAATTCTTTCATTTTGACATTCCATTATGAATTTTAAAATAACTTGGCATAAATATATTTGCGGGTTAATATCAAGGTAACATTTACATGTTAAAAGGCATAATTTGATAGTTCAGTGTCCATTCAGCTGCAGATATTTAAACAACTTCACTGTTAACTAGTGACAACATGCATGTAGTTAAAAGGTGATGATCATAATTTGCCTTTATATGCAATATTTCATAAAAGTAATTCGATGGTCGTGTCCGATCATCAGTTCCTCCATACATTGATGGAAAGTGAAACAGACAGGAATCAATTTGTGGCACATTTATAACTTTGCTAGTAACATACAACAGCTAGAAAGGTCAACGTTAAACATGCTTTTCAAAAAAAAGCATCAACGTTTGTGCCGGTCATATTATTTTTTTATTTATTCGTCATTGTGTTTTTGCTGATATATATACTTTGAAATGATTTAATGAATACGAGACAATGAAAGTAAGGGTCCTTTCATGAAAAGACTTTGAACAAAATAAAAAAATAAAAAATCATCAGTGCTTTTTAACATTATCGAATAGTGTTTATTTTTATTTTTCAAATACTATGATGTTGCATTTTTGAAATTTACTTTATTTGAACTCTATTTGATTTATCTTTTATTTTCAGTTGCCCCTGAATTGGAAATAGACTGGACAAGAATTTTCTTACAATTATCAAGATCGTTTCCTCCAACACGCTGGAAATTATTTGCAATTCAATTACTAAGTAAGTCAGTTTGAATTAAGTTTATTTCACTAAAATCTTTAGCATAATCTAATGCTCTAATATCCGTGTTTATCATTCTATGAAATATTATTTTTCTAGTCCTACAATAAGTTTGTTTTGTTGGCATTTGTCTTTAAGTTTTAAGTTATCTTGTAACGGGAAAAGAATATAAAATTTTAAGAGTATTTAGTTTTATAATGTTCAGAAAAATAATAAATGCTTAAATATGTATTATATTTGTATGTAGGCAATTGTCAGGTTTTGAATAGAAGCGTTAATGATACAGTTGATGAAATTGAGCTAGAAGCAAAGAATCAGCATACAGAGGGTTTGATCATTCACGCTTATATTAAAGTATTCAATAAATGGCTTGATAATGTGGGCAGGACAAATGCACACTTTGAACATATTAAACATGCTGTTTCTACAACTATAGAGGCAAAAGAAGCTTCAGACCTAGTACTTTCTATCGAAAGGTTTGATTTGTTTTGCTAAATATATAAGTTTTATCAAAATAAATGATAAAATATGTGTATCAGATTACAAGAAAATTATGGTCAACACATTTATAAGGTATTAATTAGTATGATATTGAATTATATTGAATTTAATTTTAATAGGTTTTT